CAAATATTTCAATTAAAACTTTACCACAAATACTATATACAAAGGATATCTTCAATAACGTTTCTAAGCATTTTATTTTTAATTTAAATTAAAATTTTAAAACCTTTTGATTAAAAAGCGTGAACTTTTACCCCACCTTACCTTTATAAATATCAAAGAATTGAAAATAATCTATACTACCTATATACATCTGTTACATTATAACTTACATATGGTGTATGGTAAAATTTGATCCTACAACTTATTTGTAAACTATCGATTTAAGCTATTCGATTACCATTAGATGATTGGGTAAAAATCAAAACACATTGATGCTGGCGCAACACTTTAGAAGACTAATAGACTATATAGCTAGGATGTGTTTATCCAGCGGAACATTGCTGAGATTACTCTCAGGTTACGTGATAGAATACCCTAACCTTTGTTACCAAAATGGAACTGTCTGATACAACAAAATGTAGACTATACCTAAAAGGACATAAGACTTTTAATCGCATTTAAGATGATTAGATTAAAATCGAAAACAACACTTAAAATAATCGTCAATTTAAGCAACTAATTCATTTTTTCGACTACAAAGAAGAATCCTTCTTCAACAGAACAGATTATGTGGCTCAATCATTCACTAGATGATCAAGCAGTAGCTAATCAAGGAAATAAAAACATTTCAAATTTATCTTTATAGTTTCATAAAAGTAAGAGTATTACAGATACTTCTATGACACTTTACTAGTTAAGTTTATATAGTCTCACTTGGATTACACTTGGCATATATAGCCACTAAATAGTAGATAAAAAATGTATATTCCCTCCATCAATCAACCCATGTTTGACATAAAGACGTACAAGTAATAAAAAATATTCTTTTCCATCAAAAAATCTTATAAATTTCTTATCAAGTATGCTTCTATGAATTTTACAAGAATTTTAGTGTTGCTATAATGCACAATTCTCAAGTTTAGCTTATCTGTCAACACTAGATAAGTTTTTAAACTTTCTTGAATTGACTGAACTATTCCCAAAAGTGTAAATATTAAACTAATATGTACGGTTAAGAGACCAACTAAGTCTGACTACAGCTTCCTTGTATGAAATTTATTTTAGCCCACAGGTGTTGGTTGACTTCAAGTTAAGCAAACAAGGAAGCAGGATGTAGCGTACCTCTACGATAGGTTCAGTTGACCTATTTTAGTGTTAGTTCAAAATTTTAAATTTGTGTTTTTTTTTACTTATACATGTTGTTGTTGTTGTAAGTTGTACATATTTGTATATGAATGCAAATACATGAAGCATGCATTTTCAAGTTATGTTCAGCTGTTTTTTTAGCTTTTCTGTTTGTACTTCAGAGCAGAAACAATTAAGTAAGGCAGTTGCCATTCAAAGCATTTTTATATTTATCCTTTTTGTGAAATAATTGCAATTAACTCGTATGCTCAATTTAAG